GTTTAGATAGTTAACTTTAGTCTAGTTATCTCAGTGGGTCTCAAACGGTTTGTTTTAAAAGGGGAGTGATTTGTAAAATATCTATAAAGAAATAGAAAATCTGTTTACAGTTCTGTTTCATATGGGTGTTGAGAGATGTACCCATAGATCTCTTCATTTTGCTCTCAAAGTGCACCAGATTGATGCTTTTAACTTCAATATTTAAAAAAAAATCTTCCCGGGGGAGCATGCCCCTGGACCCCACTAGAGGAGGTGAGGACACTCCTAGAGGAGGTGAGGTCCACTCCCCACTTGTAAAAATAGCACTTTACCCCTGCTTACACCTATATGCCGTGAGCTGATTATCGAGCCTTCATTGTAACAGTCGCGGGTACACTGTGTGTGTGTGTGGGGAGTGTTGCGGTAGAAAATTCAACTGTAGCGCTGGTGCATTAATGGGAAACCCTTAATGTTTGAGCACCCTCTATGAAACATCAAGCTACCCCACAGCACCCCTCAGAGAAAATCTCTGGCGCCGCCACTGCTCCTGCAATTTCACTTTCGCTATTTGGTTTTTTACTTATTGTCTTATTAGTAACGTGTACATACTAAGCCATTAAAAAAGAAACGTACCTCACTTTAATTGTAATCATTTAAATGTCCCCGTTAAGAGACAAATAATGGATTTCTGATTCTGATGTAAAAATACAAAGAGTCATAATTTAAGCATGCAAAGGTCCCATAGACAGTGGAGGGAAACAGGTGGAACACACTCAGAATGACCTTGCAGTGACTCCTAACAGTAGGGCGAGAATAAATTCCACCAAACTGGTGATCATAAGAACGCTGCTATTAATAATCTTTGCGCATAGCATTGGCCTGTAATTCCATTTAAATGTGTGTTCACAGTGACAACTAACTAGGACGGTACAGGCTTTGTAACGGTTTCCTTTTCACTAAACCACAAGATCTGAAATATAATTTTTTACAAAGCAAAATGAGATGAACTATTTATTCTCATTGCATGCTGCTCCTGATCGGACAGAGAGGCCATATCCATTCAAACATAATTTAAAACATACGATCTGAAATGACTGACTATAAAATAATATAATTCAGTAGTTTTTGTCTTTTTGGAAGGGTGTTTGTAGAGAAAGAATGACAAAGCACATAAGGGCTCCACAGTGCTCTTTGAAGGAGCTCTTGACAAACCTGAGTAGCGACACAGTTCTACTGTGAGAGATGATTCCTGCCCAACAAACAAACACACATTAATGTCCCGATGTTGATGGGGAGCTCACCGTCTGATTGGGTGGTGACGCTGACCGTCACCGGGGCGGTGCCTGGACCATAGCGGTTGATTGCCAGAACTCGAACTGTGTACTCTGTGAACTTATTGAGTCCCTCCATCTTGTAGTTGAGTCCGTTCACCTCCACACTCTGAACACAAACACAGGACAGTTACACTTTGCCGTTTCAGCCATTGGAATGTTCATTGAGTTTAACGGTTTAGCAAACTCCACAAAGCAACAGGAAGGTAGTACAGCAATGATGGTTCTGACCAAGCCCCCAGGAAGTGCGCCAGATGTTGATCCACATTTTCGTGGTGGCCAAACACGTTAGGTACTACAGCTTCCGGGTCAGTCAGTGACATCATTTGGCCAAAAAATACTTCTTTCCATTGGCTTACATTGGGAACGAGACGTCTGTAAATCATACTGACAGGAAGTAGTGCAGCAGTAAGGGTACTGACAGGAAGTAGTGCAGCAGTGACGTTACTGACAGGAAGTAGTACAGCAGTGGTGGTTCTTTCAGGAAGTAGAGCAGCAGTGACGGTACTGACAGGAAGTAGAAAAAACTGACCTGCTCCTTGTTGGACGGCCTCTCGGTCCACAGCAGTCTGTAGCTCAGCACGGGGCCGTTGGGTTGGCTGGGCGGCTCCCAGCTCACCTGGACGGAGGAGGGAGACAGAGCCTCCGCCTGGAGAGACTCCACCCTGCTGGGAACCTGGACTGTACACACACACAAAGACAACACACCTTTCACACACCAGCACCAACACTATAACATCTTCCACTGCTACATATGCTGCCACCAATGAAGTTAATTCAGACATCTTACTTTGCTGATAGATGGTTGTATAGAAATGAGGTACGACGTTACACCTATTTTTTCAATTATGGTTTAGTTTATTCTGTCATAACTTTCGGAATAACCCTTTGACAAAGGTTATTCAATTGATTCACAAGAGGAATTATAATACAAATATGAAAAAGATAATATAAAAAAGCTACAACAAATATTTATAATATTTTTTTTAACGAGAACGCTCTACACTTTTGTGATTTAAAAAATAAACTATAAGTCTGAAAAATGACCATATTTACTGGATATTACATCCAAAATTACCAGTTGTTTTTCCTTCAAGCATAAGACACTTTAAGATGGTCAACATTCAAAAACACTGGAAACTTCACTGCACTTCATAAGTTTTCAATCTACAAAGAAAAGCCACAGAATATAACAGCGCTACAGTCTTTGTGTGAAGTTAGTCAGGAAGCCCTTTAAGAGAGGGCTCCTTAATGAGTTGTTTGTAGCCCATTAGCCTTGGTTAGCCCCGAACACAATTCAAAGTGCATGAGCTTCTGATGACTGTGTGTGTGTGTGTGTGTGTGTGTGTGTGCGTGTGTGTGTGTGTGTGTGTGTGTGTGTGTGTGTGTGTGTGTGTGTGTGTGTGTGTGTGTGTGTGTGTGTGTGTGTGTGTGTGTGTGTGTGTGTGTGTGTGTGTGTGTGTGTGTGTGTGTGTGTGTGTGTGTGTGTGTGTGTGTGTGTGTATATGTGTGTGTGTGTGGCGTACGGTCAGGTTTGGTGCTGATACTCAGAGGGGCGGAGCTCTGTCCCGGCCCCATGTCGTTGTATGCGATGACTCTGAAGGTGTAGCTCTCCTCAGGCCTCAGGTTGGAGACGGTCAGCTCCAGAAACTCCGGCTCCGACACATTGACTGAGCGCTCCCTGAGAAGGAAAACACAACGTGATACATAACGCCTAAATGATGGAACGAGCTCCCCGTTGATATCAGGACATCAGAGAGTCCACACTCCGTCGCAGACTGAAACTCAGGACTGCATCTTAGAAATATCTTCTGTACGTAGCACAGGGATTTGGCTCCAAGTGAAGCTAATCCCTGAGCACTTGATCTGGTTGGGTTCTTAGATAGAGAATATACCTGCAGGATTCTTGCTTTTGAGTTTGTTTCTTCATGGTCAAATGCACTTATTGTAAGTAGTTTTGGAAAAATGAAATGTAATGTAATAACTAGCAAATCTTCTTACAGATTACTCATTTCAATTATGTATTTATTTGAATTAAAGCTCATTATAAAAATGTAATAGCGCTGCATAGCAGAGATAATCTACACTGTAATCAGATGTAATCTGTATAATCCCGCAGTGACTGCAGCTGATCCTCAGATTATAGCACCTCTGCAGCTTCATTACTCAGCGAATCACAAACCAGCTGCAAAGATTAGCATGTTTGGCTGCAGCATTAAATACACACAGCTGCCTTTTCTTCTCATTTACAATGTTAGGCATACCTACCATAAGCAGTGCACAGTGATTTGTGTATATCGCACAGAATCAATGTGTAAGTATTCCCTGTAATTGTGAAGCATGCATTTTACTGTGCCTAAACACAGGACAACCTTCTTTTCCTTATCTTAGGCACATGTTATTGTTGCCTAAAACAAACCAAGTTAAGACGGAATTTTATTTTGAAAAAGTTAAAAGTTGTTTTTAACCGGTCACTTAAAGGTAACCTATTATGCAAAATGCAATGAAGTCATATGGTCTGTGTTTACATTAGCAGGCATCACTAACACTCAGAGCTAACGCTGTACTGGAGAGGGTATGTGTAAAGGAAGCCGGATATAAAAGGTACTGACCTTGTGGTAAACCCGTTAGAGAGAAAGCGTTATAGCTCCATACTGTTTCAGAAATAATGCTTGATGTGGTTTTTGGTACAGCTGAAATATCAACTCTGTGGCAACAGGAAGCCAAAACACCTTATGAAATTCATAAGTTCATATTTATTTTTCCATTGTTCTCTCTTGATGTTATTTTCAATATTCTTCCTGAAAGTCATTACAACTGACAAAGAAATCTCATCTGGACTCTCCCTTCCTGCCATCTCCCTTTTCTTTCATTGTTTTCCCTCCAAATTTCCAAATTCCCTCCCTCCCTCATCTTATTTGTCCAGCAAGTTATTAAAGCTGAACATTCTCTGTCTTTTTAGGACTGACAAAAACTCTGCCTCTGTTTCCTGTGTAAGTCATTAGGACTGACAGAATGTCTCGTTTGTATGGTTTTTAGTGAAACTTCAGGGCTCTTTTGTCCAGTGGACTGCTCAGAAACGTAAAGCAGTGCAGGCTGCTGTAGTCCCTGAGGAAACAAAGCTTAAAGCCGGGCTGTCAGAGGTTAGTATTAACAGCAGCCGGGGACTCAATATGTCATCAACGGCTCTCTCTGCTAAACGTGCTGAGCTGCTGTGTGCAGCAGAGCTGTGATCAAAGGGAAGAAATGCTGTCTTGAACATATTATTATGTCTTTTGTGCTTTTATGATTCCACAACAGGGAGCTTCCTGTTTTACAGTATTATGGTTCACACACATTTAAGTCCATGCCATGCATAAAGAAGTTTGAACCATTCCTCTAAATTAAATCATCCCACCCACTTGTATTGGGACAAAGTTACAAAATCTGTTTGGTAAGGTTGTACGTCTGCCATATTCACACTTAGGTTGAGCCACACTTCATTACAGATACCAGAATCCTACGGGATCGCTTAGACGGATTTAGAATATGGTCGGCCTTTAAAGAGTTTGATTCAAACTGGATCTACAGGAGTTATTAGAGGTAAGACCTTGCCAAGATTTGAACCTGGCGGTAAACTCGCATAGACTCAGAAGCTTCTGATGCTGATACTTTTTCCCTCTTGCTCAACCATAAGGCTCACATTTGTTTTTATGTGAAATGTCTCACTTAGGGCTGCTCTCGACTAAAGATGTTTCTAGTCGACCAATAGTCGTCAATTAAGGCGATTAGTTGACTAATCGTCGCACGTTTATGATACATTATGATTATAAATATATATGCTTCTTTTTATTGTTTTTTTTCTCCCAAATTGTTTCAGTTTCAAAGGCTGATAAAGAGCGTTATTATAACAGCACGGTACGTTGCGCTTCTCATAACATATCAAATAAATACACAGAGGAGACAGAAAAGCTGAACATATGAGTGTCTGCAAAAATCCCTCTCATGAAATGAAAACTTTATCGTTTTCTGAGGTCAGAATGATTATACTGCAGTAGCGTGGCTTGGGGTAAACATTTGAGGAAGCCAATAATCTGTCCTTTTTTTGGGGGGGGTCAATGTAATAACGTAACCAGATGAGTTATTACAGCTTCCGGTATAATTGTACACACATTTGTATCATACAGATGCAGGACTTGCACACGGCTGTTATCTAACCGACAGGTCCGCATGCACTCTCCTGCCGAAACTCTCTCGTATTATTAATTTATGCATTTTCTTATTAATTGATGCAGCCAACCCCCAACCCAAATGCATAACCCGCCGCTTAAAGCGCAATGCAGATTCGGTAATGAATAAAAAACAAGCATTCATTCATTCACTAAATCAGGAGACTTTTAAAGTTGTACGTTCACATCAAAGTATCAGTAGGCTACGTGTATGAAACACATGACTTCAGTTAAGTGCAGAAAAATTGCATGTGATAGTCCACCTTCTCTTCCCTTCCCTCTCTCACTGAGAGAGGGAAGGGAAGAGAAGGTGGACTATCACATGCAATTTTTCTGCACTTAACTGAAGTCATGTGTTTCATACACGTAGCCTACTGATACTTTGANTCTCGGCATTCCTGCTGAACCGCCTTCCCTCTCCCCTGGTTGAACTGTTGACAGAGGCCACGCCCACTAAATATAGCCCCACCCACAGTCCTCCACCCCTTCCTTCTGGCACCCCCTTGACTTACTCCTACTCCTCTGATCCCCCACCAGTGTCCCCCAGCCCGGGCGTTGCCCTCCCCTCTGCCCCCCGCGACCTGGTCCCTGTCCTAGTGTCCAGCCGATTTGTGCGCCTCAGCTGGCGCCCCCCGGAGGAGAGCGGAGGAGCCGTGCAGACTTATGGAATGTATTACTCTCAAGATGGAGTCCAGAGGTAAGATGGGATTTTTTGTATTGGTCTCTGTTTGGTCCGATTCTCCCTCTCTGGCAGTGGTCCAGCCTGGAGGTCCAGACACAAAAAAAATGTTAATTGTTCGGACTTCCTTTGAATTTAGGCATTTTGCTAATCACTCGTCGACTAATAAAGTCTTAATCGAGCAATTCTTGATTAGTCGAATATTTGAAAAAAAAAGGTATATAAAAAACACACGCTGCATGTGCTATGACACGTCAGCTGGAAACCCTCAGAGTTCATAAAGAGCTGTGCCTGGTCCTTAAGTTAATTTGGTCGGGCAGGAAATCCAAAGTGTCGATCTTTCTGAACATGTAAAGGACATGTAGACTACGACGGCAAAAAGTCTCCTCCATATCCAGACCATCAGAGCGCAGAAAACAAAACAAAACACGGAGCTTAATTTTCCCGACAACGTGTGTTACTTTCTCAGACTCGTTGGAAAACAGCAGCAGTGAGTCAGGCATTAGCCTCTTTGCATCAACATATATAGACCTATAATATATTGTAACGGACTGGTTATAATGTTTATGTTTTCATGTGTTTCATTGTTCAGAGTTTATTTACAGAATGTCAGCGAACGTGTCACTATTTTTGAAAGACAGTTCTTGTGGCTTGTGGCTGTGAGGTGAGTGATAGAGTGTCGTCTGATTGGTTGGGTGTCAAATTTCTAGAGGGAGGGACGGGGAATGCTACGAGAGAGCTGAAGGAGTCGGGTGAGAATAAGGATTTAACCTAATTATTTCATTGTTTTGGCGTGGTTACGGCCAACAGTAACCTGTGATCGTTATTAATAAACTCCCGGATTCATACCAACACGCCCCAATGTTATATTTAACTAATATTTAACTCCCTCCACCCCAGATAAAAGCACATTAAGAAGCTATTTTTCTCTAATTCCACAACGTTTGATTGAAATAACATTAGGAGAACGGATTAATAGGCTATTCATGGTTAACGTGTGTTGCTAACTTTATCCGGTATCCTAGCCTAATCTGTTATCTGTAAATGTTAATCCACATAATCCACTAACATCCTTTAATACACATGTTCATTTCATCCTGAATGTGCAGATAATATCCGCAATATAAATCTTTAAACGTCTTCTTACCTTTAAAAGTCCATCACAAACGGTCTATTATGCTGCAACTCTACTGTGCTGCTAGCCGCAGATCGTGGAACTATCAATAGTTCCCCCGGAAGTCAGCGGCAAGCTAACTTCCGGGGAACTATTGAGGGCTCCACTATCCGCCATTGCTGTAAAAAAAACTGGTCCATTGGAGTGAACAGAGATGTCGTAACTCATCTATATGGCGCTGCTATTTTGGTAATGTTAGTTTGTTTCTTGTTTTCTTTTTGGGTGAGGGAATGCTCCGGTTTTGGGATAAAATTAACATAGGATCACTCCGATCATTGTACGTACTTCGTCTCAATGGAATATTAACGGTCAGATTGAATACAACATCGACCCAATTTCTCCGGTCAATGACGGGAGAGTTTTGAAAGTGACAAAACACTGTTCCACAAATTTAAAAACACTTAAACAATTAAGCAATGTTTACCCAGGATTCAGGCACCTTCTCTGGCTTGTAAAATGTGGTGATGCGCCCTGGAGGTATCAGACTATTTTAATCATGTATACCCAGGATTCAATCACTTTTCCTGGCTTGTAAAGTGCTGTGAAGCAGCCTGTTCTCTGAGTGCAGTCTGGGTGCGCTCTGCGGGGTCTCGCAGCCCGCTCCTCTCTGGCTGCGCTCCACGCCTCTATTCACAGCACTTTCCCCAGGTTTCAGAGACTTATTGCTGGGGAGAAAAGACACATGCATCACCATGGATCTCTGCATGTGTGTGTGCCTGTGAGTCTGAGACCTTAACAGCAGTGACTCTGCTTTTTTTAACCTTCTTGTACATTTCGTGAGTCAAATATTAACGAAATGGACAGATTTCTGTCCATATCAGCGGCTGTTGAATTAAAACAGTTTAATGCACTTTTAACACTCGTTTACCCACGATTCCAGCTCCTTTCCTGGGTTATAAAGTGAGATGAAGCAGGCTGTCCTCTGGGTGTGCGCTCTGTGGGTCTCGCAGC